CTGAACTAGAACTGAACTAGAACTGAACTAGAACTGAACTAGAACTGAACTAGGACTGAACTAGTGCTGAACTACAACTGAAATAGAACTGAACTAGAACTGAAATAGAACTGAAATAGAACTGAACTAGATCTGAACTAGAACTGAATTAGAACTGAACTAGAACGGAATTTATATTAGAGTTGTTGACATCTGTTGCTCTATAAGTCTAGAACAATTAAATATTGTTGCTGCAACATATATAGACAACATAATAAAGAGAAAATGCAACAAATTAATTAAGCATCATTTAATTTATCAGACAAATTGACATAAAGTCATTGCATGTCAATGAACGTGGAAGAAAACGCAGTTGTAAATAAAGCAGGAAAAAATAAAAAGAGGAATATTTTCAAACATTATAAGATGTCAATTGAAATGATCGCTGGGTTGTTTCAAATGCCCCAAGAAATCTTTACTTATTGAAACAAATTATTTATCTTACATTGACTTCACTTTATCTCATCACCATCAAATCTAAATGAAACTCATTATCTTCGGTTCTTAAGTTCACAACCACAAAAATTCAATATGCAAGAAAATTTCTAGACATAAAAATATTATTCAACATTAACCTCCCACAAACTGCTGGCCAATATCTTCAAACACTAATATATTCATAGATTTTTCTTTCAAGATAAAAACCAATTTTTTCCAGCATTTAGTTCAGAGCCTCAAACCAACAGCAAACACTCAACAAATGACCTTAGAATAACTTTTTTTTGTGATGTCTTAAAAAAAATACAAAATTATTTTTATTATTTATTATTTATGAGCTGTTTTTTCACGTTTTTTTTTTCTCTTGTTATAATCAAATTTAACACCCAAACGCTGCTACAAGTGAAATTTTCCTGATACGTAGAATGAATGAATAAAAAGAAGAATTTTTGAATGTTGAGCTCAAATCAAATGATAAATGTTTGCTTTTTTATGCAAATAATAGTCATACATGATTTGCAAAAAAATAAATAAAAACAAAAATTTACAAAAAACAAAAACAAACATAAATAACGAAATAAACGAGGGATGTGTGAGAAATAATATGACTCAAAAGTAAAGACTAGACTATAGAGAGACTATAGACTCGACTACAGACTAGTTTATAAGAAGATTAGACTATAGACTAGACTATAGACTATATTATAAACTAGACTATAGACTAGACTATCGACTAGATTATGGACTAGACTATAGAATAGACTATAGACTAGACTATAGACTAGACTATAGACTAGACTAGACTATAGACTAGACTAGACTATAGACTAGACTAGACTAGACTATAGACTAGACTATAGACTAGACTATAGACTAGACTATAGACTAGACTATAGACTAGACTATAGACTAGACTATAGACTAGACTATAGACTAGACTATAGACTAGACTATAGACTAGACTATAGACTAGACTATAGACTAGACTATAGACTAGACTATAGACTAGACTATAGACTAGACTATAGACTAGACTATAGACTAGACTATAGACTAGACTATAGACTAGACTATAGACTAGACTATAGACTATACTATAGACTAGACTATTGACTAGACTATAGACTAGACTATAGACTAGAATATAGACTAGACTATAGACTAGACTATAGACTAGACTATAGACTAGACTATAGACTAGATTATAGACTAGATTATAGACTAGACTATAGACTAGACTATAGACTAGACTATAGACTAGATTATAGACTAGACTATAGACTAGACTATAGACTAGATTATAGACTAGACTATAGACTAGACTATAGACTAGAATATAGACTAGACTATAGACTAGACTATAGACTAGACTATAGACTAGACTATACTATAGACTAGACTATAGACTAGAATATAGACTAGACTATAGACTAGACTATAGACTAGACTAAAGACTATATTATAGACTAGACTAAAGAATAAAATATAGACTAGACTATAGATAAGCCTACAGACTAGACTACAGACTAGACTATAGACTAGACTATAGACTAGACTATAGACTAGACTATAGACTAGACTATAGACTAGGCTATAGACTAGACTATAGACTAGACTATAGACTAGACTATAGACTAGACTATAGACTATACTATGACTAGACTATAGACTAGATAGACTATACTATCTATACTCATTAGATTCGACTATGGGACTATATTATGTATATACTAGACTATAGACTAGATTATAGATTCGACTATAGACTATATCATATACTAGACTATAGACAAGACTATAGAATAGACTGTAGACAAGGCTATAGACTAGACTATATATAGTCTAGACTATAGACTAGACTAGACTATAGACTAGACTATAGATTAGACTATAGACTAGACTATAGACTAGACTATAGACTAGACTATAGACTAGACTATAGACTAGACTATAGACTAGACTATAGACTAGACTATAGACTAGACTATATACTAGACTATAGACTAGACTATAGACTAGACTATAGACTAGACTATAGACTAGACTATAGACTAGACTATAGACTAGACTATAGACTAGACTATAGACTAGACTATAGAAAGACTATAGACTAGACTATAGACTAGACTATAGACTAGACTATAGACTAGACTATAGACTAGACTATAGACTAGACTATAGACTAGACTATAGACTAGACTATAGACTAGACTATAGACTAGACTATAGACTAGACTATAGACTAGACTATAGACTAGACTATGGACTAGACTATAAACTAGACTATAGACTAGACTATAGACTAGACTATAGACTAGACTATAGACTAGACTATAGACTAGACTATAGACTAGACTATAGACTAGACTATGGACTAGACTATAGACAAGACTATATACTAGATTATAGACTAGACTATAGACTAGACTATAGACTAGACTATAGACTAGACTATAAACTAGACTATAGACTAGACTATAGACTAGACTATAGACTAGACTATATACTAGACTATAGACTAGACTATAGACTAGACTTTAGACTAGACTATAGACTAGACTATAGACTAGACTATAGACTAGACTATAGACTAGACTATAGACTATAGACTAGACTAGACTATACTATAGACTAAATTATAGATTCGACTATGGACTATATTATGTATATACTAGACTATAGACTAGATTATAGATTCGACTATAGACTATATCATATACTAGACTATAGACAAGACTATAGAATAGACTATAGACAAGGCTATAGACTAGACTATATATAGTCTAGACTATAGACTAGACTAGACTATAGACTAGACTATAGATTAGACTATAGACTAGACTATAGACTAGACTATAGACTAGACTATAAACTAGACTATAGACTAGACTATAGACTAGACTATAGACTAGACTATATACTAGACTATAGACTAGACTATAGACTAGACTATAGACTAGACTATAGACTAGACTATAGACTAGACTATAGACTAGACTATAGACTAGACTATAGACTAGACTATAGACTAGACCATAGACTAGACTATAGACTAGACTATAGACTAGACTATAGACTAGACTATAGACTAGACTATAGACTAGACTATAGACTAGATTATAGACTAGACTATAGACTAGACTAGACTATAGACTAGACTATAGACTAGACGATAGACTAGACTATAGACTAGACTATAGACTAGACTATAGACTAGACTATAGACTAGACTATAGACTAGACTATAGACTAGACTATAGACTAGACTATGGACTAGACTATAGACAAGACTATATACTAGATTATAGACTAGACTATAGACTAGACTATAGACTAGACTATAGACTAGACTATAGACAAGACTATAAACTAGACTTTAGATTAGACTATAGACTAAATTATAGACTAGACTATAGACTATATTATGTATGTACTAGACTATATACTAGATTACAGATTCGACTATAGACTAGACTTCTATGTTCTAGACTACAGTCTGGACTATATTCTGAACTATAGATTAGACTATAGTCTGGACTATAGACTAGACTATAGTCTGGATTGTAGTCCGGACTATAGTCTGGACTATAGACTATGGTCTGGACTATAGACTATGGTCTGTACTATAGTCTGGACTATAGACTAGACTGCAGATCACTTTGAAATCTGTAGTATACATCATTATATAGTCTGAACTTTAGATCGTTCTATAATCTGGACTATAGATCAGTCTATAGTCTTAAATATGGTTTTAACTATAGATCGTTCTATAGTCTGGACTGTAGATCAGTTTAAATTCTAGAGTCTATGGTCTGGAGTATAGTCAGTCGTTAGTCTTGACTATAGATGCATAGGTCTATCGTCTGGACAGTCTATTGATCATTTTAAAGTCTATACTATTGAGCATTCTATTGTCTGGACAGTATATCAGTCAATAGTCTTTACTCTGAATCCGTCTATAGTCTGTACTATAGGTCGGTCTATAGTCTGGATTAAAGATTTTTCTACAGTTTGATGTAGTTATAAGCCTATAGTCTGCTATATTAAACAGGTTAGTCTGGTCTATAGATAAGCTTAAATCCACACTATAGTCCCGTCGGTAGTTGAGATTATAGCATAATAGCTTTCGACTTATAGAACATGCTTCGTTTTTGCACCTCAAAGCTTTTTATGACTATAAACTTAGCATTTTTATCTAAATTTATGTGAGTACTATTTGTATGTTTTTTTATGAATCTTTTATTTTTTGTAATTTACCTTAATCAATGGTGAGAACAAAACAATAATACAATGATTATTTAAATATATTTATGAATTAGAGGAATGCACCCGAGGAAATTAGATGGTTAGAAGTAGACGAAGGAAAGTGCTTTCAAAGTAGTTATAGAGTGAAATGAATAATTCAATTGTACTGATGATATATTACGGACTTTTTGCCACGAGTGTTTGTTAATGAATTGCAGTGTGTTATTTTTTTATGACGATGTTTGGAACAAATCTGTGAACTAGAACTGTGGTTTTGTTTTTTAGTATTATCCAAACACTTTTGTAAAGAAACAAAACACGGATAGTGTTTGGTGCACATTTTTATATTTTTTTTGGAAATTTTGTTTTTATAAAAAAAAACGTAAAAATGGAAAAATTTTTTAAATATTTATTAATTTGGTATTTGTTAACGGGATGCTGCTGGGGTTTTGGTCAATTTCATATGAAAAAGTATACACCACGCATAGACTCGAGTGAAGAGGATAATAGTGTTTTAAGTGAGAATTTTTATTGATAAAAGTGGAATTTTGTATTTAATATGATTGGTTTTGATTCTAGGGACTTATCGCCGCTGCTTGTGGGAACAATCAAAGTCCTTACCTAGGCGCTTGGTGTTGCTGAGTTTATGCTCGAATTTATTTTGTGAAAATAATCAAATCGTTTCCCGATCCAGGTCTATTTTTGTAGTGGAAAAAATGGCTAGACCCAATGAGTACTTAGTGACAAAATTTTTATGTTCTTAGTCTTTTTATTTGGTTTTTTGACATACTATTTCCCGAGTCAAATTTTTAATTAAAATATTTTTTATTTTTGATTTTTACCAGCTGCCTGGATATTTTACCCGATCAGTGTAAACAGGGCGATGAGGAGGAACTGATGTATAAACCATTTCCGGATTGCTGTCCGGTCTATTGTAATCTTAAGCGTCGCATGAATCGTTTGAAAACTATGCACTACCGACATCGCATGCTATTGAATATGCAGCGTCAACAGGCGGCAGGGGCCACAAATTTACTGCTTAATGAGTACGGCTTGGATAGTATGTAAAGGGGTCTGAGGGGAAGACAATAAACCTCTTTTTGAGTGAGAAAAAGACATTACATAGTTATTTAAAAAGGAATGTTAATTAAATTGTAAAATTAAAAAAAAAGTTTAGAATAAACTAAAAAAATTACTGATAATTGTGGTTTTGAATAGAAACTGGGGAAAACATTTCAATCTTTATCTCTTTCAAACATGATTCATGAAATCTATTTTTAAAATTTCAAATTTTTTTTTTCATAATTTTAAAAATTCTTCTACTACTTGTTTGCTTGGTATTAGGGTTTCACACTTATAAATATATATTTCAAAACGATTAATTTTATGACCAAACTCTGAACCCTAAAATGAACACTTAATTGTATGCGTAATTACAAGTTTCTAGAACAATTTCATTGATGTCTTTTTTCTGTTTTTCCACAAATAAATTAATAAACAAACAAACACAAAAAACTAAATTGATACAAATTAATAGAGAGTTTTAATATAAAAATAGAAAAAAAAACTAAAACAACTACAACAACACAAATAATACTTCCACTTAGTTCGTATATATATGTATAGTATAGTAGTCTCAAAGATGGAATGACTTGATAACCCATAAAGAGCCTCTAGCTAAATGAACCCAATGGAGATGACAAGTATGTGGCCAACTAGTTAGACAGACGGACGGACAAACGAACGGATGGACGGACAGACATACTCACACATTTTATGTTTGTTTTAAAAAGACACAGTAAATTAAATAAATCTACAAAACCAGACATGTCCCATATTAATAGAAAATACAACAAAAAATAAAATCTTAAACAACAAAAACATAACATTTGAAAAATATATTTTCATCTAAATTTCTGCTAGTAAAACAATAATAGATTTAAGGAATTGAAATTTTTATAAATGTATCGTATAAAATAGCTAATAATAGTCTCTAATAAGTTCCCCGTAATTTTTTTTTGAATTCCTAAAAATGTTTAAAAAATTTCCTCAAAATCTCAGTTATAATTTAAGGGGAAAATAAGTTTTAAGCAAACATTTTTTAAACCAAAAATAAAAAGACTATAGACTAGACTATAGACTAGACTATAGACTAGATTATAGACTAGACTATAGACTAGACTATAGACTAGACTATAGACTAGACTATAGACTAGACTATAGACTAGATTATAGACTAGACTATAGACTAGACTAGAGACTAGACTATAGACTAGACTAGACTATAGACTAGACTATAGACTAGACTATAGACTAGACTATAGACTAGACTATAGACTAGACTATAGACTAGACTATAGACTAGACTAGACTAGACTATAGACTAGACTATAGACTAGACTATAGACTAGACAATAGACTAGATTATAGACTAGATTATAGGCTAGACTATAGGCTAGACTATAGACTAGACTATAGACTAGACTATAGACTAGACTATAGACTAGACTATAGACTAGACTATAGACTAGACTATAGACTAGACTATATACTAGACTATAGACTAGACTATAGACTAGACTAGAGACTAGACTATAGACTAGACTATAGACTAGACTGTAGACTAGACTATAGACTAGACTAGAGACTAGACTAGAGAGACTAGACTATAGACTAGACTATAGACTAGACTATAGACTAGACTGTAGACTAGACTATAGACTAGACTATAGACTAGACTATAGACTAGACTATAGACTAGACTATAGACTAGACTATAGACTAGACTATAGACTAGACTATAGACTAGACTATAGACTAGACTATAGACTAGACTATAGACTAGACTATAGACTAGACTATAGACTAGACTATAGACTAGACTATAGACTAGACTATAGACTAGACTATAGACTAGACTATAGACTAGACTATAGACTAGACTAGACTAGACTATAGACTAGACTATAGACTAGACTATAGACTAGACTATAGACTAGACTATAGACTAGACTATAGACTAGACTATAGACTAGACTATAGACTAGACTATAGACTAGACTATAGACTAGACTATAGACTAGACTGAGACTATAGACTAGACTATAGACTAGACTATAGACTAGACTATAGACTAGACTATAGACTAGACTATAGACTAGACTATAGACTAGACTATAGACTAGACTATAGACTAGACTATAGACTAGACTAGACTAGACTATAGACTAGACTATAGACTAGACTATAGACTAGACTATAGACTAGACTATAGACTAGACTATAGACTAGACTATAGACTAGACTATAGACTAGACTATAGACTAGACTATAGACTAGACTATAGACTAGACTATAGACTAGACTATAGACTAGACTATAGACTAGACTATAGACTAGACTATAGACTAGACTATAGACTAGACTATAGACTAGACTATAGACTAGACTATAGACTAGACTATAGACTAGACTATAGACTAGACTATAGACTAGACTATAGACTAGACTATAGACTAGACTATAGACTAGACTATAGACTAGACTATAGACTAGACTATAGACTAGACTATAGACTAGACTATAGACTAGACTATAGACTAGACTATAGAAGACTAGACTATAGACTAGACTATAGACTAGACTATAGACTAGACTATAGACTAGACTATAGACTAGACTATAGACTAGACTATAGACTAGACTATAGACTAGACTATAGACTAGACTATAGACTAGACTATAGACTAGACTATAGCCTAGACTATAGACTAGACTATAGACTAGACTATAGACTAGACTATAGACTAGACTATAGACTAGACTATAGAATAGACTATAGACTAGACTATAGACTAGACTATAGACTAGACTATAGACTAGACTATAGACTACTAGACTAGCTATAGACTAGACTATAGACTAGACTATAGACTAGACTAGACTATAGACTAGACTATAGACTAGACTATAGACTAGACTATAGACTAGACTATAGACTAGACTATTAGACTAGACTATAGACTAGACTATAGACTAGACTATAGACTAGACTATAGAATAGACTATAGACTAGACTATAGACTAGACTATAGACTAGACTATAGACTAGACTATAGACTAGACTATAGACTGACTATAGACTAGACTATAGACTAGACTATAGACTAGACATAGACTAGGACTATAGACTAGACTATAGACTAGACTATAGACTAGACTATAGACTAGACTATAGACTAGACTATAGACTAGACTATAGACTAGACTATAGACTAGACTATAGACTAGACTATAGACTAGACTATAGACTAGACTATAGACTAGATTCTAGACTAGACTATAGACTAGACTATAGACTAGACTATAGACTAGACTATAGCTAGACTATAGACTAGACTATAGACTAGACTATAGACTAGACTATAGACTAGGACTATAGACTAGACTATAGACTAGACTATAGACTAGACTATAGACTAGACTATAGACTAGACTATAGACTAGACTATAGACTAACTATAGACTAGACTATAGACTAGACTAGACTAGACTAGACTATAGACTAGACTATAGACTAGACTATAGACTAGACTAGACTATAGACTAGACTATAGACTAGACTATAGACTAGATTATAGACTAGACTATAGACTAGACTATAGACTAGACTATAGACTAGACTATAGACTAGATTATAGACTAGATTATAGACTAGATTATAGACTAGACTAGACTAGACGATAGACTAGACTATATGATTAAAATGACTCTAATAAACAAAAAAAAAATTATTAAATTTTTAATGAAACGAATTCCCAAAAGCAATTTTCCAAAATCCCTTAAAGCAGTAGGTGCCTAAGTTTGTTCTTCCTGGCGAAACTGCACCAATCAATTGGTGCAAGTATGTTTATTATTAATTAAACCTAAAAACTCATACTTAATATTGCTCAAGTACTCTCTATCTCCTCCTCTCTATGCTCTCTAAAGCAATCCCTTCTACCAGAAGATATTTTTTTGTTTGAAAAACTAACTCAGATTTAACATTGAACTTCACTGAAAATGCTAAGTAGTAAACAAATTAATAAATAAAATAAATATAAATACCAATCAATTCATTTACATAATTTATTTTGTTATTTACAAAAATTATTTCACATCAAACAATGAAAAACTTCCTTATCAGCTATAGGCACTCAAAAACACTGCAGGTCATTTCATGGCACATAATCATGCCATCCATCTCTTTTACTCTCTTTCGTTCATTCTCTCTCGCTCTCTCTCTTGGACACTTAATTAAAGCGAGTTTTTAGAACTTAGTACAGAGTAAAAAGAAAGGCCTAGACTGTGGAAAAACTCTTTATTGAATTCTTAAATTTAGTTTAATTTTGTCGCTGCAACTTAAAACATATAGTAATTTATTTGTATTTAAAGAAATTAAAAAAAAAGAAATATTTGAAAATATGCCGCTTAAATGGAATTTTGTGTTTGTGTTTTTTATAATTTTAAATATTTTTCTGCACAAAACAGAGGCTTATCAGGCGCTTTTGCCACCAGGTTGTTAAAACAAATTTTTATCAAAATATTTATAACAAAAAATTATCTTGAAAGTGTTTAAAATTGATGGTTTTATTCTTTGTCCAATAATCAGGCGAAGATGGCAAGTGCACTTATCGCGGCGATAAACTGGAAGTGGGTAAACATTCCGGCTCAGCACCCTGTCAGAGTTTAACATGTCAGGAGGATGGCTCAACATTAGTAGAGGGGTGAGTTTGAGAATAACAAAACTACGGAAGCACACAAGACCAATCTGTCGTCAAGACAGATAGACCAGACTATGGACCATATTATAGACAAGATCAGAATTTTGACAAGACTGTAATCTAAAACAGACAAGACTACAGTCCAGACTATATACTATACTGTAGACTATGCTATAGGCTAGACTATAGGTTAGACTATAGACTGGACTGCAGACAAAACTATATTCTAGAATATATACAATACTATAGGCTAGACTGTAATAGACTAGACAATATACTAGACTATAGATTAGACTATAGACTAGACTATTGACTAGACTATAGACTAGACTACAGAATAGACTATAGACTAGACTATAGATATGACTATAGACTAGACTATAGACTAGACTATTGACTAGACTATAGACTAGACTACAGAATAGACTATAGACTAGACTATAGATATGACTATAGACTAGACTATAGACTAGACAGTCTATAGTCTAACTATAACCTAGACTATAAAATAGACTATAGACTAGACTATAGACTAGACTTTAGACTAGACTATAGACTAGACTATAGACTAGACTATAGACTAGACTATAGACTAGACTATAGACTAGACTATAGACTAGACTATAGACTAGACTATAGACTAGACTATAGACTAGAATATAGACTAAATTATAGACTAAACTATAGACTAAACTATAGATTACACTATAAACTAAACTATAGACTAGACTATAGATTAAATTACAGACTATAGAATAGATTTTATGACTATTTGCTATTATATAGTTAAGTCCTTAGTATGGACTATAGACGAGGCTATAGTGCAAACTTAAGTCGAGACTGTAGGTCGAACTAGGGAGAAATAGACTAGACTATAGACTAGACTATAGACTAGACTATAGACTAGACTAAAGACTAGACTATAGACTAGACTATAGACTAGAGTACAGACTAGACTATAGACTAGACTATAGACTAGACTATAGACTAGACTATAGACTAGACTATAGACTAGACTATAGACTAGACTACAGACTAGACTATAGACTAGACTATACACTAGACTATAGACTAGACTATAGACTAGACTATAGACTAACTAGACTATAGACTAGACTATAGACTAGACTATAGACTAGACTATATACTAGACTATAGTCTAGACTATAGACTAGACTAGACTATAGACTAGACTATAGAGTAGACTATAGACTAGACTATAGACTAGACTATAGACTAGACTATAGACTAGACTATAGACTAGACTATAGACTAGACTATAAGCTAGACTATAGACTAGACTATAGACTAGACTATGGACTAGACTATAGACTACACTATAGACTACACTATAGACTACACTATAGACTATAGTGTGGACTATAGACTAGACTATAGATTAGACTAAAGACTAGACTATAGACTAGACTATAGACTAGACTATAGACTAGACTATAGACTAGACTATAGACTAGACTATAGACTAGACTATAGACTAGACTATAGACTAGACTATAGACTGGACTATAGACTAAATTATAGACTAAACTATAGACTAAGCTATAGATTAAACTATAGACTAAACTATAGACTAAACTATAGACTAAACTATAGACTAAACTATAGACTAGACTATAGATTAAATTATAGACTATAGAATAGATTTTATGACTATTTGCTATTATATAGTTAAGTCTTTAGTATGGACTATATACGAGGCTATAATGCAAACTTAAGTCGAGTCTGTATGTCGAACTATGGAGAAATAGACTAGACTATAGACTAGACTATAGACTAGACTACAGACTAGACTATAGACTAGACTATAGACTAGACTATAGACTAGACTATAGACTAGACTATAGACTAGACTATAGACTAGACTATAGACTAGACTAGACTATAGACTAGACTATAGACTAGACTATAGACTAGACTATAGACTAGACTATAGACTAGAGTACAGACTAGACTAGACTATAGACTAGACTATAGACTAGACTATAGACTAGACTATAGACTAGACTATAGACTAGACTATAGACTAGACTATAGATTAGACTATAGACTAGACTATAGATTAGACTATAGACTAGACTATAGACTAGACTATAGACTAGACTATAGACTAGACTGGACTAGACTATAGACTAGACTAGACTATAGATTAGACTATAGACTAGAATATAGACTAGACTATAGACTAGAGTATAGACTAAACTATAGACTAAACTATAGACTATAGAATAGATTTTATGGCTATTTGCTATTATATAGTTAAGTCCTTAGTATGGACTATAGACGAGGCTATAGTGCGAACTTAAGTCCAGACTATAGATCTAACTATAATCATGATTAGGGAGAAAGGTAGCATGTAGTCAGAACTAAGTAAAACCTTTGGTCAAAAAAGTTGTGTTTAAAACTGACATTTGTCAATTTGAAATTTATTATGTGTTTCAAAAATAAACCTTGAACCTTTCGTGTGACTCTGCTTCAAATTATTTCAAATTCAGAATACATTATGTCTAGAAAAAAGCCCCTTTTAGTCGCACGATTTAAAAAGAACAAATTAAAAATATTCAATCCATTAGCACTACAATTTAATGAATTAAAAATCAATATTGTAATTAAAGTATCAATAACTATTTGTTGTTTTTGTTTTTAGTTTTTGTAAATAATATGTATGATTTTATTTGTATGTTATTTTAAAGAACACAACACAATTTTGCTTTAATTAGCACAAATACATTATTCATCAATGTTTATAAACAATAAATGCGAAAAGTGTAATTTTTTTATACAAAACAAAAAAAAAAAAAAAGTTCAGTTACTGATAACAGCAGAAAAATTATAATAAAATTAATTACGTATTAGAATTTTGTTTAAAGCATTATAAAGACAAGAGAATTTATATGTTTTTTCTATACTTTCTAGTTGCGGTAAGCTATGGATACAAAACTGTAATCGTGGAGAACGTGTAGCAGCCGATAAACCCTATCCGGAATGCTGTAAATTGGTGTATAAATGCAAAAATCCTGACGGCTCTTCCTATTATATAGAACGGGATGCTGCTGAATATCAACTAAAAACTGAAAATTCTACGTAGTTTTGAGTTACTCTCAATACTTAAATGAAAATTTCTTAGGTTTTAATGTTTTAATTAGTAGTTTTTAGTTGTATTTTTGTATTTATTTTTATTTTCTTAATATTGACAAAAAGCTGAAACCAAAATATACTGAAAAAATGGGATTTTAAGAGTTTTTAAATAAAAAATCTGAAAATTATTAAAAATGAGCCAAAGTTTTGTAAAAATTATCACAAGAAGTTCAAAAGTCGTTTTAAAACTTGTTTTTAAGCTTAAATACAAATTTTAAGGAGATTGGGGATTTTGGGTATTTTTGAAAATTTTTTGGGAATTATTTAAAATTATGCAGATAAAGATATTTCTGTTGAAGTAGTCATTGAAAAGCTTTAGAGCATGATTTCAGATCTAAATACGTGTTTTAAACAAATTGGGGATTTTGGAGATTTTTAATAGTTTTTTTTGGGAATTAATACATTTAAAACATATTATCATATTCTTTAACAAAGTATAATCGAATTAGATTAAAGACCACAAGAATATTTACATATTAACTAACTAACTAACTAACTAACTAACTAACTAACTAACTAACTAACTAACTAACTAACTACTAACTAACTAACTAACTAACTAACTAACTAACTAACTAACTAACTAACTACTAACTAACTACATACTAACTAACTAACTAACTAACTAACTAACTAACTAACTAACTAACTAACTAACTAACTAACTAACTAACTAACTAACTAACTAACTAACTACTAACTAACTAACTAACTAACTAACTAACTAACTAACTAACTAACTAACTAACTAACTAACTAACTAACTAACTAACTAACTAACTAACTAACTAACTAACTAACTAACTAACTAACTAACTAACTAACTAACTAACTACTAACTAACTAACTAACTAACTAACTAACTAACTAACTAACTAACTAACTAACTAACTAACTAACTAACTAACTACTAACTAACTAACTAACTAACTAACTACTAACTAACTAACTAACTAACTAACTAACTAACTAACTAACTAACTAACTAACTAACTAACTAACTAACTAACTAACTAACTAACTAACTAACTAACTAACTAACTAACTAACTAACTAACTAACTAACTAACTAACTAACTAACTAACTAACTACTAACTAACTAACTAACTAACTAACTAACTAACTAACTAACTAACTAACTAACTAACTAACTAACTACTAACTAACTACTAACTAACTACTAACTAACTAACTACTAACTAACTACTAACTAACTAACTAACTAACTAACTAACTAACTAACTAACTAACTAACTAACTAACTACTAACTACTAACTAACTAACTAACTAACTAACTAACTAACTAACTAACTAACTAACTACTAACTAACTAACTACTAACTAACTAACTAACTACTAACTAACTAACTAACTAACTACTAACTAACTAACTAACTAACTAACTAACTAACTAACTAACTAACTAACTAACTAACTAACTAACTAACTAACTAACTAACTAACTAACTAACTAACTAACTAACTACTAACTAACTAACTAACTAACTAACTAACTAACTAACTAACTAACTAACTAACTAACTAACTAACTAACTAACTAACTAACTAACTACTAACTAACTAACTAACTACTAACTAACTAACTAACTAACTAACTAACTAACTACTAACTACTAACTAACTAACTAACTAACTAACTAACTAACTAACTAACTAACTAACTAACTAACTAACTAACTAACTAACTAACTAACTAACTACTAACTAACTAACTAACTAACTAACTAACTAACTAACTAACTAACTAACTAACTAACTAACTAACTAACTACTAACTAACTAACTAACTAACTAACTAACTAACTAACTAACTAACTAACTAACTAACTAACTAACTAACTAACTAACTACTACTACTAACTAACGAACTAACTAACTAACTAACTAACTAACTAACTACTAACTAACTAACTAACTAACTAACTAACTAACTAACTAACTAACTAACTAACTACTAACTAACTAACTAACTAACTAACTAACTAACTAACTAACTAACTAACTAACTACTAACTAACTAACTAACTAACTAACTAACTAACTAACTAACTAACTAACTAACTAACTAACTAACTAACTAACTAACTAACTAACTAACTAACTAACTAACTAACTAACAAAATACCTCAAAAACCCATTTTGTGAATTTAAATTTTTTTTTTTTAATTTTTGGGTTCTATCAATAAAAGTGGAATTAGGCAGATGTGAAATATTATTCTGGGATTTTAGGGATTTCTTACAATATTTTTGGGAATAATTATAATTTTTAAATTTTGAGCAAAATGCAAAACAGAACTTATTTGTTAGTATTTGTCTTAAATCTTTCATAATATGGTCAAAACCACTAAAAACTCATTTTTTTGGGGATTTTGGGGATTTTTTAAAACCTTTCGGAATTATTATTGTTTTGCCATTTAGTGAAAATTTATTATTTTAAATTAATTTATAAAGAATTTTGTACAGTTGAACTTAATATGCGACACTTTTTCTAATACTACTAAATGTTGCCATATTCGGAGAAGTATATTTTCTTAATTTTGAGACAAATAATTTATAAATTTTAGTAGTTTTTTCATATTTTCTTAAATTACTGTGCAAAAGACACTCAAAACTCATTTTGAGATTTTGGGGATTTTTTAAAAGTTTTTGGGAATTAATATGTTTAATTTTTTCAGTAAAAATATGTAATTTAAAACGATTGATGAAGAATTTTGTAGAAACAAACTTGACATTTATTACTAAATGTTGCCGTATTCGGGGATGTTTTTTTTAATAAATTGTAGTAGTTTTTCCATATTATCTTTATTTACAATTAAAATCAATGAAAAATAACTCTATAATTGTTTTGTGGGATTTTAGAAATTTTTTATTTTTTTTAGGAATTGTCATTAATTAGTTTAATGATGGAAGAAACAACAATTTTTCAGTGTTGTTTTATGTTTATTTTTGTTTTATTTATTGTATACTTGTTTGCTTGTGAGCAAGAGATTACGCATGCGCGCACACACATTGTGCGCAGAACATAAACAAACCGGTAGACAGCTCTGGCTTTAACTCTTTTACCTTTTCTTTCTCCAACTTACACTCAAAAATAAACAAAAGAAATGACAACCGTTTGACCTAAATTTTCTTTAAAGAAAGAGTGTAAATTTCTCTTAACTACGCAAAGACATTGGCCTTCAGCTGATGGTAAAAGTCCAGCTTAAAACCACAACTGCAGTTCAACGCAGACCAGCTACAAGACCAGTTAATAAAAGCGCTTACTTTAGTTTTCAGTTAAATCAAAGAGAAAAAAAAAAAAGATTTAAAACGTTTTTTTTTTTTTTTTTTTTTACATATAAAAAATAAATAAATTTGCTTAAAAAGGTGATTGTTTTGTTTATTTATTTATGTGTTTGTTGGAAAAAATTAAATTATAAATTCAAAAAACGTTTATCATGGTATAAACAAAGTGAAATTTTTATATGAAAAATACTAACAAAAATGTAAAAATTCCCTTTTAAATAAAAAATAATTAAAATATAGATCACATTTTATCAAAAAATAGAATATTCATAAATTTAACTAGAAATCTGTGTGTCATTTTTTTTTTCAAAGTAATAAAAGAATTTCTAAACAATTTACCAAACAATTCATGCTAAATGTAAACATGAATCACAAAAAACAGTAACGGCAAACTTGTTTCAAAGGTGTTAATTGTGGCCCCAAGCAACTCCAAACAGTTTTGGCCCAGTTATGACAAGTACCAAGAATAACAATAAAATGAACAACAACAATTTATGGTGGTTTCGTAAAATGTTTTATGACAAAAAATTCAAAACAAATCTTAAAAAAATTTAAAAAAGTACTTAATTTAGAAATTTAGTACCAAATAAAAAAGCTTCACAAAAAGTGAAGTCAAGATTTTAGGGTATTATGGACTATACTTTAGAGTCTTTTAAAGTCTGGTTGATAGTTGGAACAAAACTAGAACAGAACCAGAACAGAACTAGAACAGAACTAGAACAGAACTAGAACAGAACTAGAACAGAACTAGAACAGAACTAGAACAGAACTAGAACAGAACTAGAAAGAACTAGAACAGAACTAGAACCAGAACTAGAACAGAACTAGAACAGAACTAGACCAGAACTAGAACAGAACTAGAAGAACTAGAAGAACTAGAACAGACTAGAACAGAAACTAGAACAGAACTAGAACAGAACTAGAACAGAACTAGAACAGAACTAGAACAGAACTAGAACAGAACTAGAAAGAAATAGAACAGAACTAGAACACAACTAGAACAGAACGAGCAACAGAACTAGAACAGAAACTAGAAACAGAACTAGAACAGAACTAGAACAGAACTAGAACAGAACTAGAACAGAACTAGAACAGAAACTAGAACAAAACTAGAACACTAGCACTAGAACAGAACTAGAACAGAACTAGAACAGAACTAGAACAGAACTAGAAACAGAACTAGAACAGAACTAGAACAGAACTAGGAACAGAACTAGAACAGGAACTATAACAGAACTAGAACAGAACTAGAACTAGAACTAAGAACTAGAACAGAACTAGAAAGACCTAGAACCAGAACAGAACAGCATAAGAACAGAACTAGAACAGAACTAGAACAGAACTAGAACAGAACTAGAACAGAACTAGAACAGAACTAGAACAGAACTAGAACTAGAACTAGAACAGAACTAGAACAGACTAGAACAGAAAACAGAACTAGAACAGAACTAGAACAGAACTAGAACAGAACTAGAACAGAACTAGAACAGAACTAGAACAGAACTAGAACAGAACTAGAACAGAACTAGAACAGAACTAGAACAGAACTAGAACAGAACTAGAACAAACTAGAACAAACTAGAACAGAACTAGAACAGAACTAGAACAGAACTAAACAGAACTAGAACAAACTAGAACAGAACTAGAACAGAACTAGAACAGAACTAGAACAGAACTAGAACAGAACTAACAGAACTAGAACAGAACTAGAACAGAACTAGAACAGAACTAGAACAGAACTAGAACAGAACTAGAACAGAACTAGAACAGAACTAGAACAGAACTAGAACAGAACTAGAACAGAACTAGAACAGAACTAGAACAGAACTAGAACAGAACTAGAACAGAACTAGAACCGAACTAGAACAGAACTAGAACAGAACTAGAACAGAACTAGAAACAGAACTAGAACAGAACTAGAACAGAACTAGAACAGACTAGAACAGAACTAGAACAGAACTAACAGAACCGAACTAGAACAGAACTAGAACAGAACTAGAACAGAACTAGAACAGAACTAGAACAGAACTAGAACAGAACTAGAAACGAACTGAACAGAACTAGAACAGAACTAGAACAGAACTAGAACAGAACTAGAACAGAACTAGAACAGAACTAGAAACAGAACTAGAACAGAACTAGAACAGAACTAGAACAGAACTAGAACAGAACTAGAACAGAACTAGAACAGAACTAGAACAGAACTAGAACAGGAACTAGAACAGAACTAGAACAGAACTAGAACAGAACTAGAACAGAACTAGAACAGAACTAGACAGAACTAGAACAGAACTAGAACAGAACTAGAACAGAACTAGACAGAACTAGAAACAGAACTAGAACAGAACTAGAACAGAACTAGAACAGAGCTAGAACAGAACTAGAACAGAACTAGAACAGAACTAGAACAAAACTAGAACAGAACTAGAATAGAACTAGAACAGAACTAGAACAGAACTATAACAGAACTATAACAGAACTAGAACAGAACTAGAACAAACTAGAACAGAACTAGAACAGAACTAGAACAGAACTAGAACAGACTAGAACAGAACTAGAACAGAACTAGAACAGAACTAGAACAGAACTAGAACAGAACTAGAACAGAACTAGAACAACTAGAACAGAACTAGAACAGAACTAGAACAGAACTAGAACAGAACTAGAACAGAACTAGAACAGAACTAGAACAGAACTAGAACAAGAACAGACTAGAACAGAACTAGAACAGAACTAGAATACTAGAACATAACTAGAACAGAACTAGAACAGAACTAGAACAGAACTAGAACAGAACTGGAACAGAACTGGAACAGAACTAGAACAGAACTAGAGCAGAGTTAGAACAGAACTAGAACAGAACTAGAACAGAACTAGAACAGAATTAGAACAGAACTAGAACAGAACTAGAAACAGAACTAGAACAGAACTAGAACAGAACTAGAACAGAACTAGAACAGAACTAGAACAGAACTAGAACAGAACTAGAACAGAACTAGAACAGAACTAGAACAGAACTAGAACAGAACTAGAAGAGAACTAGAAGAGAACTAGAAGAGAACTAGAACAGAACTAGAACAGAACTAGAACAGAACTAGAACAGAACTAGAACAGAACTAGAACAGAACTAGAACAGAACTAGAACAGAACTAGAACAGAACTAGAACAGAACTAGAACAGAACTAGAACAGAACTAGAACAGAACTAGAACAGAACTAGAACAGAACTAGAACAGAACTAGAACAGAACTAGAACAGAACTAGAGCAGAACTAGAACAGAACTAGAACAGAACTAGAACAGAACTAGAACAGAACTAGAACTAAAACTAAATTAGAACTGTTTATAGTTTAGTATATAGCCTATTCTATAGTTTAGACTATAGTCTGGTCTATAGATTATAGTTTACTCTATAGTCTAGTGTATAGCTAAGTAAATATTTGTAACGATCTTTTTAGTTTCAATTTGGATTGATGTATATGTGAAACTTTTCTATTACTTTTCTATTATTCTATATATTTCAATATTGATTGCTATTACTAGTTCAAGCTGTCATAAACAACAAAGAACAATGTTTACAAATTCCTTTTTTTCAATTCTCTGAACGGTCTTGTCATTTTTGTGTGCTCTATTGAATTTATTTGTCACTTCTTTTGTCGATTCTTAATGCTGCTGGCATGAAAATGTCAAATAAACAGTTTCAATTTTTTCACTCTCCTGCAGTTGACAAAATGACTGTGTTTAAGAAAACATAAATAAAATATACTTACAATGTGATAAACAAATGGAATGGAGGGGGAGACAAGGAAGTGCATCATAGATATGAACATGCAATAACATGTTTAAGGAAAAAGGCAGAGTGACCAAAAAACAATTACATCGTATTTTGCCGTTATATTTTGATGTTTTATTTTAAAATTCTGTGAAATATTTGCGGTTTCCCTGGCTTTCGCAAATCACACAGATAAAAATTTACTGCAATCACTATCGATAATGATAAAGTCTGTTCACCGGAAAACAATCAAGCAGAAACAACATACAATCGGCAATATAAAGATTTTGTTTGTGATAGCAACTGCTGCAAAGAACAGAAATGCAAAATAATTCTGAACAGATAAAAACCCAGTAAACGAACTTATGAGAAATTTATGTAACCCATACAATACCGTTTGTCAAAATTTCAAATAGCTCACCTTTCGTCTACCCTGAAGTCTTTAACTATTTTAAAGTTTTTCTACTTGCTATATGACTCTTTAGAAAATCAATTTTATCTAAAGTAAATCATGCGTACAAAATGTAAACTATACGAACAGGATGCAAAATATTTCCAGACAAAGTTTGACGTAAAGGTTGAATTTACAAACTGAAAGTTAAATTTAAATATTGGTTAATAAAGACTTTTTGAAAATACTACACTATTTTAAATTCTAGTTCAGTTCCAGTTCTAGTTCAGTTCTAGTTCTAGTTCAGTTGTAGTTCAGTTCTAATTCAGTTCTAGTTCAGTTCTAGTTCAGTTCTAGTTCAGTTCTAGTTCAGTTCTAGTTCAGTTCTAGTTCAGTTCTAGTTCAGTTCTAGTTCAGTTCTAGTTCAGTTCTAGTTCAGTTCTAGTTCAGTTCTAGTTCAGTTCTAGTTCAGTTCTAGTTCAGCTCTAGTTCAGTTCTAGTTCAGTTCTAGTTCAGTTCTAGTTCAGTTCTAGTTCAGTTCTAGTTCAGTTCTAGTTCAGTTCTAGTTCAGTTATAGTTCAGTTCTAATTCAGTTCTAGTTCAGTTCTAGTTCAGTTCTAGTTCAGCTCTAGTCAGTTCTAGTTCAGTTCTAGTTCAGCTCTAGTTCAGTTCTAGTTCAGTTCTAGTTCAGTTCTAGTTCAGTCTAGTTCAGTTCTAGTTCAGTTCTAGTTCAGTTCTAGTTCAGTTCTAGTTCAGTTCTAGTTCAGTTCTAGTTCAGTTCTAGTTCAGTTCTAGTTCAGTTCTAGTTCAGTTCTAGTTCAGTTCTAGTTCAGTTCTAGTTCAGTTCTAGTTCAGTTCTAGTTCAGTTCTAGTTCAGTTCTAGTTCAGTTCTAGTTCAGTTCTAGTTCAGTTCTAGTTCAGTTCTAGTTCAGTTCTAGTTCAGTTCTAGTTCAGTTCTAGTTCAGTTCTAGTTCAGTTCTAGTTCAGTTCTAGTTCAGTTCTAGTTCAGTTCTAGTTCAGTTCTAGTTCAGTTCTAGTTCAGTTCTAGTTCAGTTCTAGTTCAGTTCTAGTTCAGTTCTAGTTCAGTTCTAGTTCAGTTCTAGTTCAGTTCTAGTTCAGTTCTAGTTCAGTTCTAGTTCAGTTCTAGTTCAGTTCCTAGTTCAGTTCTAGTTCAGTTCTAGTTCAGTTCTAGTTCAGTTCTAGTTCAGTTCTAGTTCAGTTCTAGTTCAGTTCTAGTTCAGTTCTAGTTCAGTTCTAGTTCAGTTCAGTTAGTTCAGTTCTAGTTCAGTTCTAGTTCAGTTTAGCTCAGTTCTAGTTCAGTTCTAGTTCTATCTATTAAGTCTTCATTATCCGATACAATTCATCTATATTCGGCCATTAACTTTTCTCTTTAACTAATGAATTTGCTAAACAATTTCTTTTTTTGCAGCCCTTTTAATGGTGTAAAAATGTTTATGAAATATTTGTTATGCAGCTGGCATTTTTGGCTTTAATGCTATGGCTGCCTATAGCTGGCGTATCATCATACAAGCGCAATTATGAAGCTAAATATACCAAAGCAAATGTACCTCTATGGAAACAAAGGGTAAATAACATACTCTAACTCACCACCTCAACACTTTCTCATTTGTCTAAACATATCTAACAAACTTTCCAACATTGTACACATACTGTATCTTTAAAACCACATTAATTCATTCATCCATCATCCATCTGCACTAAGAAAGTTTCCCAAAAATAAAACAAAACAAAATTTAAATTTATTCCCTCACTCTGTCTGTTATCTAGGCTTGCGAGAAGGCCCAAAAATATAAGGCCAATTCTCATTATGTTGTGATGATAAGGGTGACGTTAAATGTTTACCAGGTTGGCAGGGAGATTTATGTCAAGTACCCATGTGTCGTAAAGGTTGTGATCCCATGAATGGTGAGTAATATTGCAAACAGTAGACAACAGTCACACATCCACTTACATGTCTATAAACAGGCATATTTAAATGGGCTCAAACAATACATACATATCTGTAAGACTTATGTTAAGATAGAGAAGCTCAATTAAATGGTCATTGTAATTTAGAGGCATAATGAGTGAAAAAGGTGGGAAGTAAAGGAGTGTAAAGACTAAGCATCATATAGTCTGTAGTCCAGACTATACTTTAGGCTGCAATCCAAAATTTTGTGATCTGAACTAGAATAGAACTCGAACAGAACTAGAACAGAACTAGATCAGAGCTAGAACAGAACTAGAACATAACTAGAACAGAACTAGAACTGACTAGAACTGACTAGAACTGAACTAGAACTGAACTAGAACTGAACTAGAACTGAACTAGAACTGAACTAGAACTGACTAGAACTGAACTAGAACTGAACTAGAACTGACTAGAACTAAACTAGAACTGAACTAGAACTGAACTAGAACTGAACTAGAACTGACTAAACTGAACTAGAACTGAAACTAGAACTGAACTAGAACTGAACTAGAACTGAACTAGAACTGAACTAGAACTGAACTAGAACTGAACTAGAACTAAACTAGAACTGAACTAGAACTGAAACTAGAACTGAACTAGAACTGAACTAGAACTGAACTAGAACTGAACTAGAACTGAACTAGAACTGAACTAGAACTGAACTAGAACTGAACTAGAACTGACTACTAGAACTGAACTAGAACTGAACTAGAACTGAACTAGAACTGAACTAGAACTGAACTAGAACTGAACTAGAACTGAACTAGAACTGAACTAGAACTGAACTAGAACTGAACTAGAACTGAACTAGAACTGAACTAGAACTGAACTAGAACTGAACTAGAACTGAACTAGAACTGAACTAGAACTGAACTAGAACTGAACTAGAACTGAACTAGAACTGAACTAGAACTGAACTAGAACTGAACTAGAACTGAACTAGAACTGAACTAGAACTGAACTAGAACTGAACTAGAACTGACTAGAACTGAACTAGAACTGAACTAGAACTGAACTAGAACTGAACTAGAACTGAACTAGAACTGAACTAGAACTGACTAGAACTACTAGAACTGAACTAGAACTGAACTAGAACTGAACTAGAACTGAACTAGAACTGAACTAGATCTGTTTTTATTTTCTTAAAATTATTCATGCCTTTAAATCTCTGTCTTTGTATTCGAATGTCTCATTGTGTCGAAAGTTTCAACACTTACTTAAGTTTTCAAGAATGTTTGCGTGTGTATGTATGTGTGTATGTTTATTTGAAAACGTGTTAGTGTCATTGTCTATACAAGCTCATGTGTGTTGAAAGGGAACTTGTTGGTAAATTTTGTTTGTAGGCTATTGTCAACGTCCTGGTGAATGTCGTTGCCGCATTGGTTACACTGGAGAATTGTGTGACAAATGCATTCCTTTGCCCGGATGTCAACATGGTGACTGCACAAAACCATTTGAATGCATATGCCGCCCTGGTTGGGATGGACTCTTTTGTACGGAACGTAAGTTTGTGGCAAGAACTTTAAACTAAAACTTTTCTAAGATTATAAAACTTATTGTTGCAAAAATATTATAATTTTGTTGCTTTTTTGGTTCGTTACTTTAGCCACATGTCGCCAGGGTTGCCACAATACACGTGGCTACTGTGAGGCTCCTGGTGAGTGTCGTTGTCGTATTGGCTGGGCTGGTCGTAATTGCAGTGATTGTTCTGTTCTGCCGGGATGTCAGCATGGCACTTGCAGTAAGCCTTTAGAGTGTCAATGTTTACCTGGTTACACCGGTCTGCTGTGTCAGACACGTAAGTTAATGTTAAAAATTTTAATTAAGTTTTTTATTATTATTAATATTAAAAATATGTTGTTTATGGTTTTTTTGTTCTACTATAGCGATTTGTAATGCAGATTGCCACAAGCAACATGGTTACTGCAAAAGACCAGGAGAGTGCAGGTGAGTGGAGAAGATTTTTTTAATTTTAAATGTTGTTTATATATTTTTTAATGATTTTGTTTATTTCTGTAGGTGTAAAGTAGGCTGGACAGGTGCCAATTGTGACAAATGTTTCCCCTATCCTGGATGTGTTAATGGAGACTGTGAAAAAACCCTGGGAGTGTAACTGCAAACCGGGTTGGGGTGGAATTTTATGTGATGAAAGTGAGAAAACAGATTCAACTATGACTACATTATATAATAGTCCATAGGCTAGACTATAGGCTACATTATAAACTGGACAGTTCTTATTCAGTTTTAATTCAGTTCAGTTCTAGTTCAGTTCTAGTTCAGTTCTAGTTCAGTTCTAGTTCAGTTCTAGTTTAGTTCTAGTTCAGTTCTAGTTCAGTTCTAGTTCAGTTCTAGTTCAGTTCTAGTTCAGTTCTAGTTCAGTTCTAGTTTAGTTCTAGTTCAGTTCTAGTTCAGTTCTAGTTCAGTTCTAGTTCAGTTCTAGTTCAGTTCTAGTTCAGTTCTAGTTCAGTTCTAGTTCAGTTCTAGTTTAGTTCTAGTTCAGTTCTAGTTCAGTTCTAGTTCAGTTCTAGTTCAGTTCTAGTTCAGTTCTAGTTCAGTTCTAGTTCAGTTCTAGTTCAGTTCTAGTTCAGTTCTAGTTCAGTTCTAGTTCAGTTCCAGTTCAGTTCTAGTTTAGTTCTAGTTCAGTTCTAGTTCAGTTCTAGTTCAGTTCTAGTTCAGTTCTAGTTCAGTTCTAGTTCAGTTCTAGTTCAGTTCTAGTTCAGTTCTAGTTCAGTTCTAGTTCAGCTCTAGTTCAGTTCTAGTTCAGTTCTAGTTTAGTTCTAGTTCAGTTCTAGTTCAGTTCTAGTTCAGTTCTAGTTCAGTTCTAGTTCAGTTCTAGTTCAGTTCTAGTTCAGTTCTAGTTCAGTTCTAGTTCAGTTCTAGTTCAGTTCTCGTTCAGTTCCAGTTCAGTTAGTTTAGTTCTAGTTCAGTTCTAGTTCAGTTCTAGTTCAGTTCTAGTTCAGTTCTAGTTCAGTTCTAGTTCAGTTCTAGTTCAGTTCTAGTTCAGTTCTAGTTCAGTTCTAGTTCAGTTCTAGTTCAGTTCTAGTTCAGTTCTAGTTCAGTTCTAGTTCAGTTCTAGTTCAGTTCTAGTTCAGTTCTAGTTCAGTTTCTAGTTCAGTTCTAGTTCAGTTCTAGTTCAGTTCTAGTTCAGTTCTAGTTCAGTTCTAGTTCAGTTCTAGTTCAGTTCTAGTTCAGTTCTAGTTCAGTTCTAGTTCAGTTCTAGTTCTGTTCTAGTTCTGTTCTAGTTCTGTTCTAGTTCTGTTCTAGTTCTGTTCTAGTTCTGTTCTAGTTCTGTTCTAGTTCTGTTCTAGTTCTGTTCTAGTTCTGTTCTAGTTCTGTTCTAGTTCTGTTCTAGTTCTGTTCTAGTTCTGTTCTAGTTCTGTTCTAGTTCTGTTCTAGTTCTGTTCTAGTTCTGTTCTAGTTCTGTTCTAGTTCTGTTCTAGTTCTGTTCTAGTTCTGTTCTAGTTCTGTTCTAGTTCTGTTCTAGTTCTGTTCTAGTTCTGTTCTAGTTCTGTTCTAGTTCTGTTCTAGTTCTGTTCTAGTTCTGTTCTAGTTCTGTTCTAGTTCTGTTCTAGTTCTGTTCTAGTTCTGTTCTAGTTCTGTTCTAGTTCTGTTCTAGTTCTGTTCTAGTTCTGTTCTAGTTCTGTTCTAGTTCTGTTCTAGTTCTGTTCTAGTTCTGTTCTAGTTCTGTTCTAGTTCTGTTCTAGTTCTGTTCTAGTTCTGTTCTAGTTCTGTTCTAGTTCTGTTCTAGTTCTGTTCTAGTTCTAGTTCTGTTCCAGTTCTGTTCTAGTTCTGTTCTAGTTCTGTTCTAGTTCTGTTCTAGTTCTGTTCTAGTTCTGTTCTAGTTCTGTTCTAGTTCTGTTCTAGTTCTGTTCTAGTTCTGTTCGAGTTCTGTTCTAGTTCTAGTTCTGTTCTGGTTCTGTTCTAGTTCTGTTCTAGTTCTGTTCTAGTTCTGTTCTAGTTCTGTTCTAGTTCTGTTCTAGTTCTGTTCTAGTTCTGTTCTAGTTCGTTCTAGTTCAGTTCTAGTTCAGTTCTAGTTCAGTTCTAGTCAGTTCTAGTTCAGTTCTAGTTCAGTTCTAGTTCAGTTCTAGTTCAGTTCTAGTTCAGTTCTAGTTCAGTTCTAGTCAGTCTAGTTCAGTTCTAGTTCAGTTCTAGTTCAGTTCTAGTTCAGTTCTAGTTCAGTTCTAGTTCAGTTCTAGTTCAGTTCTAGTCAGTTCTAGTTCAGTTCTAGTTCAGTTCTAGTTCAGTTCTAGTTCAGTTCTAGTTCAGTTCTAGTTCAGTTCTAGTTCAGTTCTAGTTCAGTTCTAGTTCAGTTCTAGTTCAGTTCTAGTTCAGTTCTAGTTCAGTTCTAGTTCAGTTCTAGTTCAGTTCTAGTTCAGTTCTAGTTCAGTTTCTAGTTCAGTTCTAGTTCAGTTCTAGTTTCAGTTCTAGTTCAGTTCTAGTCAGTTCTAGTTCAGTTCTAGTTCAGTTCTAGTTCAGTTCTAGTTCAGTTCTAGTTCAGTTCTAGTTCAGTTCTAGTTCAGTTCTAGTTCAGTTCTAGTTCAGTTCTAGTTCAGTTCTAGTTCAGTTCTAGTTCAGTTCTAGTCAGTTCTAGTTCAGTTCTAGTTCAGTTCTAGTTCAGTTCTAGTTCAGTTCTAGTTCAGTTCTAGTTCAGTTCTAGTTCAGTTCTAGTTCAGTTCTAGTTCAGTTCTAGTTCAGTTCTAGTTTAGTTCTAGTTTAGTTCTAGTTCAGTTCTAATTCAGTTCTAGTTCAGTTCTAGTTCAGTTCTAGTTCAGTTCTAGTTCAGTTCTAGTTCAGTTCTAGTTCAGTTCTAGTTCAGTTCTAGTTCAGTTCTAGTTCAGTTCTAGTTCAGTTCTAGTTCAGTTCTAGTTCAGTTCTAGTTCAGTTCTAGTTCAGTTCTAGTTCAGTTCTAGTTCAGTTCTAGTTCAGTTCTAGTTCAGTTCTAGTTCAGTTCTAGTACAGTTCTAGTTCAGTTGTAGTTTCTAAAATTAAAGGATTAATTTTGTATTTTTCATCTAGAATTAACCTACTGCAAGGATCATCCCAATATCTGTGAAAATGGCGGCAGATGTCTCTCCCTGACCAAGGAAGACGGCAGTTATCGTTGCCACTGTAAACAGGGTTATTTGGGTAAAAATTGTGAAATTATAGATGAGTTCCTGTTGACCTCAACAGCGGCGCCACGCATCACACCACCACCATTAATCACTTCAGAGGAGGAGGATGATGAGGATACAATTGAATACTTAAATGATGAAAACGAGGTTCTTAGTATTACGAAAGAAACGGAGAAGAACAAAGATGTAATAAAGTTAAAGAAAAATGAGACATTGGAGGGAACTAAGGGAGTAGCTGGAGTAAATGTGACAGATCAAAAGAAAGTGGAAAATGTGAACCTAAATATGAGTCTCAGTGGTAATCAGGGGAATGGAACTGAAGTTAATATTACTAATAATATGGAGAAAGTAGAGATAAAACCGGACTTATTAAGGAACATGACTTTAGATAAGAAAGTCGATAACAAAACGGAGGAGTTTGTGACTTTACCCACATTTAATGATATTTCAGCAGCCGATATTATAGGAACAGCAACAGCTTCTACACAACTGCCGCAACTAAAAGAATCCAAGAAGAGTGCAACTAAAACCCCAACACCAGATTCCAATATAATGATCATAAATAAACTAAAACAACTGCTACAATAAAACCTAGTACCTCTGCGACTTCCACAAAAATCAAAATTTCTACCACAAGTTCTACCACTCTCTCACCCTTAAGTAAATTAGATAATGATAAACATCTGCATACTATGCCCCTAAAATCCACAGAAACGAATCAAAAAACCGAAGAGGAAGGACGATGATGAAGAGTGTAACGATGATAATGATGACGAGTGTGAATATGAGGATGAAGATGATGAGGAAGATGATGATGATGATTAGGATTTCTATAGTCAATAGTCATATATATGTATTTAACAATTTAGCCATTTTTATTTTATTTATTATAAATAATTTATTTAAAATATTTATTAAAATAAACCGTAAGACTTAATCCCTTATATATTAACAATTTTTTTATTATTTGTAAAAAAATCTACAGCAATTTATTTAAAAACCTTTAAAACACCTCAGCTGTTTATTTAATTTATCTATTACCTCTTTCAAACTTAAGATTAATTGCTACCCCCTCTTCGGGAACTAGGGAAACATAATTTAAATAAAATTTCCACAAATTCCCTTAACACTTTGCTGCATTTTCCAGCAAAATTAATCAAGGCAGCAGTTTGGCCCCTATTTACTCTACAGCCCCTTTATAGCAAGTCATACCTGGTCTCTCCCCAAAAGCTTTTAAGACTTCCTAAACAATTAATATAAACATACACTACATTTTTTTCCTCTCAAGAAAATTAATAAAATATGCAAGTAGTAAAAAAAGGATTTTATAACTTTCGTTACATTTTTTTCTCCTTCACTTAAAGTGTGTGTGTGTGTGCTCCTCTCATGCTCAATTAATTCTAAAGTCCTGATAAGGTAAATGATGGCAGCCCGAATGGAGCCTTTTTTCCATGTTCCCAAGTAAACAATTTGTAAGTAGATTTTTATAACATTAAAGTACGTGCTAAAGTTAAAATGTCAGCATAAGGAGAAAAAAATGATGATGATGGTTAAATAAAAATGAGGCATAAGACATGCAACCACGCATGTGGCAGGTAACAGTAGCAAAATAAAAAAAAACTATCGAGGTTAAATAAAAACTGAAAATACACTTAAGATTCCTTAAAGAAATCTTTATAAATAATTTAAAAAAGTAACCAGGATGCAAATCAGATAAAGATATCTACAACAGGAACTATCTACTGACTATAATTTAAATTATAGACCAAAATATGCTATCGACCAGATTACCGATTATTTCTAATTAAGTTCTAGTTCAGTTTAGTTCTGGTCAGTTCTAGTTCAGTTCTGTTCAGTTCTAGTTCTAGTTCTGTTCTAGTCTGTTCTAGTTCTGTTTCTAGTTCTGTTCTAGTTCTGTTCTAAGTTCTGTTCTAGTTCTGTTCTAGTTCTGTTCTAGTCTGTTCTTATTTTCTGTCTAGTTCTGTTCTAGTTTCTGTTCTAACTTCTGGTTCTAGTTCTGTTCTAGTTCTGTTCTAGTTCTGTTCTATGTTCTGTTCTAGTTCTGTTCTAGTTCTGTTCTAGTTCTGTTCTAGTTCTGTTCTAGTTCTGTCTATGTTCTGTCTAGTTCTGTTCTGTCTAGTTCTGTCTAGTTCTGTTCTAGTTTCTGTTGTCTAGTTCTGTTCTAGGTTCTGTTCTAGTTCTGTTCTAGTTTTCTAGTTCTGTTCTAGGTCGTTCTAGTTCTAGTTCTTGTTCTAGTATCTAGTTTCTAGTTCTGTTCTAGTTCTGTTCTAGGTTCTGTTCTAGTTCTGTTCTAGTTCTGTTCTAGTTTCTGTTCTAGTTGCTGTTCTAAGTTCTGTTCTAGTTCTGTTCTAGTTCTGTTCTAGTTCTGTTCTAGTTCTGTTCTAATTCTGTGTCTAGTTCTGTTCTAAGTTCTGTTCTAGTTCTGTTCCTAGTTCTGTTCCTAGTTCCTGTTCCTAGTTCTGTTCTAGTTCTGTTCTAGTTCTGTTCTAGTTCTGTTCTAGTTGCTGTTCTAGTTCTGTGTCTAGTTCTGTTCTAGTTCTGTTCTAGGTTCTGTTCTAGTTCTGTTCTAATATCTGTTTCTAGTTCTGTTCTATGTTCTGTTCTAGTTCTGTTTCCAGTTCTGTTCTAGTTTCTGTTCTAGAAGTTCTGTTCTTAGTTCTGTTCTAGTTCTGCTCAAGTTCTGTTCTAGTTCTGTTCTGTTCTAGTTCTGTTCTAGTTCTGTTCTAGTTCTGTTCTAGTTCTGTTCTAGTTCTGTTCTAGTTCTGTTCTAGTTCTGTTCTAGTTCTGTTCTAGTTCTGTTCTAGTTCTGTTCTAGTTCTGTTCTAGTTCTGTTCTAGTTCTGTTCTAGTTCTGTTCTAGTTCTGTTCTAGTTCTGTTCTAGTTCTGTTCTAGTTCTGTTCTAGTTCTGTTCTAGTTCTGTTCTAGTTCTGTTCTAGTTCTGTTCTAGTTCTGTTCTAGTTCTGTTCTAGTTCTGTTCTAGTTCTGTTCTAGTTCTGTTCTAGTTCTGTTCTAGTTCTGTTCTAGTTCTGTTCTAGTTCTGTTCTAGTTCTGTTCTAGTTCTGTTCTAGTTCTGTTGTAGTTCTGTTCTAGTTCTGTTCTAGTTCTGTTCTAGTTCTGTTCTAGTTCTAGTTGAGTTCTACTTGAGTTCTATTAGGGTTCTAGTCGAGTTCTAATTGAGTTCTAGTTGAGTTCTAGTTGAGTTCTAGTTAAGTTCTAGTTGAGTTCTAGTTAAGTTCTAGTTGAGTTATAGTTCAGTTCTAGTCATAGTGTAGTCATAGTCTAGTCATAGTGTAGTCATAGTGTAGTCATAGTCTAGTCATAGTCTAGTCATAGTCTAGTCATAGTCTAGTCATAGTCTAGTCATAGTCTAGTCATAGTCTAGTCATAGTCTAGTCATAGTCTAGTCATAGTCTAGTCATAGTCTAGTCATAGTCTAGTCATAGTCTAGTCATAGTCTAGTCATAGTCTAGTCATAGTCTAGTCATAGTCTAGTCATAGTCTAGTCATAGTCTAGTCATAGTCTAGTCATAGTCTAGTCATAGTCTAGTCATAGTCTAGTCATAGTCTAGTCATAGTCTAGTCATAGTCTAGTCATAGTCTAGTCATAGTCTAGTCATAGTCTAGTCATAGTCTAGTCATAGTCTAGTCATAGTCTAGTCATAGTCTAGTCATAGTCTAGTCATAGTCTAGTCTATAGTCTAGTCATAGTTAGTCATAGTCTAGTCATAGTCTAGTCATAGTTAGTCATAGTCTAGTCATAGTCTAGTCATAGTCTAGTCATAGTCTAGTCATAGTCTAGTCATAGTCTAGTCATAGTCTAGTCATAGTCTAGTCATAGTCTAGTCATAGTCTAGTCATAGTCTAGTCATAGTCTAGTCCAATCTAGTATAGTCTAGTCATAGTCTAGTCATAGTCTAGTCATAGTCTAGTCATAGTCTATCATAGTCTAGTCATAGTCTAGTCATAGTCCTAGTCATAGTCTAGTCATGGTCTAGTCATAGTCTAGTCAAAGTCTATTCATAGTCTAGTCATAGAGTTGTCATAGTTCTTTTTGTATCTTATATCTTCCTTCACCCTTTAAATTATTTTTAAAAACACACCAATAATATAAACAAAATGTTTCAAAAACTACAAAATATGTGTCGCTGATCATAAATTTTCTTGAAATTTTTAATTACATATTTTCTTTACTCTCAGCATTGCATATCATAAAAATTTTTCTTCATTTATGAGAGTATATACCGGGAAAATCGGCTTCCTCTACTCTCCCCTAATAATTGAGTATAGCATTTAAATTCTTAAATAAACTACAAAATTTTTCTTATTTATTGTTTAAATGATTTAGAAAATTTTCAACAAGTTGTCTCAGTTTCCAACCAACCAAGCGAGTGATCAAAATGTGTGTATTCTGAAAGCGGAGGGCGTGATTGTGCGATCGTGTGTGTGGTATTTCTTATGCATTCTAAAAATAATTAATTTCGAATATAAATAACAATAAAAAAAACAGAAAAATATTAAACAAAGAAAATTTTTGTTTTTATAAAGAAGAAAACAGTTTAAATTTTTTAATAAAAGAAATCAAGTGAAAGTAGCAGAAAAATGCCGCATAAGAAAAATGTAATTTTTTAAAAATATGAAAGAAAGTGATAAAAATTTTGCGAATATTGGTTTTAAAATGATCAAATAATAAATATTAAAAAATATAAAATTAAACATTTGTTTAATTATAAAATAAAATGTTCCACGGTGACAAGTTTAAAACCAACATTTTTAATTTCCTCAGATTTTTAAATAATTTTTTTTTAACATTTACATTGTTGGCCAACAATTAAAAATAAATCTCGTAAAGACGCAAAATATTTGAGAATGAAGTGAAAATAAACGTATTTTAGTTTTATGAAAACATTCTTCGAATACTTTTCAAAAAAGTAACGACAATTTGTTTTTGAGTAAAAGTGTGTTAAATGCAAACAGTTGCGGTGAAATGTTGACAAAAAACCCAACAAACAATTCATATCATAAAACTAGGATATAGATTAGACTAGACTATGACTAGACTGTGACTAGACTATGACTAGACTATGACTAGACTATGACTAGACTATGACTAGACTATGACTAGACTATGACTAGGACTATGACTAGCTATGACTAACTAGACTAGACTATGACTAGACTATGACTAGACTATGACTAGACTATGAACTAGACTATGACTAGATATGACTAGACTATGGACTAGACTATGACTAGACTATGACTAGACTATGACTAGGACTATGACTAGACTATGACTAGACTATGACTAGACTATGACTAGACTATGACTAGACTATGACTAGACTATGACTAACTAATAGACTAGACTATGACTAGACTATGACTAGACTAGGACTATGACTAGACTATGACTAGGACTATGACTAGACTATGACTAGACTATGACTAGACTATGACTAGACTATGACTAGACTATGACTAGACTATGACTAGACTATGACTAGACTATGACTAGACTATGACTAGACTATGACTAGACTATGACTAGACTATGACTAGATATGACTAGACTATGACTAGACTATTGACTAGACTATGACTAGACTATGACTAGACTATGACTAGACTATGACTAGACTATGACTAGACTATGACTAGACTATGACTAGACTATGACTAGACTATGACTAGACTCTGACTAGACTATGACTAGACTATGACTAGCTATGACTAGACTATGACTAGGACTATGACTAGACTATGACTAGACTATGACTAGACTATGACTAGACTATGACTAGACTATGACTAGACTATGACTAGACTATGACTAGACTATGAC